AAAAAAAAAAAAAAAAAAAAAAAAGGTGTTTGTACCGGGGCCTCTCAGCGCTTTTTGGTTTGTAATCAAGCAAGAGGCCTCTAGCACAATCCCTTCTCAGAGCAAGATGCTTTGGCCCAGGCCACTGTCAATACTGGAACATCTCTCAGGTGTCCCTGAAAGTCATTTACAAAAGCTACGCTACTCTCAGGTTCTCCCAGAGTCCCTAGTAGCTTTCCAGGAAGCCCACTGTCTCAGAGGCTGGGCAGAGCCTGGGGAGGACAAGGACTTCATTGTCTGAATTCTCTCTTCCTTCACCTCTGAACCACCTGCCTGCACTGCTTGGCCAAGTGAAGCAGAATGCCCCAGGCTTCTGAGGCACTGCCATGTGTAAGATCACTGTGCTCAGGAACACAGCGGTTGGTCAGAGCTGGCTGGACTTTCTGAACCTCCCAGGATGTCCCTAATTCCGTTGCCCTTGACTTAACAGATCATCCCGTTCATCCTGAAGGAATGCCTCTGGAGCAGCTGAGCTGGGGCGGACTCTGCAGGAAGCAGATGTTTGTCTCACTTCCTGCATCGGCCAGTGGCCACCAGCCTCCTCATGGACCCCAGTCCATGGTCCCGTACAGAAAGGAGGGGGACACGGGAAGAAGCTCTCCTCACTGCCCCTGGAAAGGGCCATTTAGTGTCCACAAACCCCACAGACACGGCCTTCTAGCTTTGGCTCACATGTGGACCAGAACCCATGCTGAATGCCAGGATTTTACATTTCACATTTTAAAAGTCTGGTTTGGGGCCTGGTGTGGTAGCTCACACCTGTAATCTCAGCACTTTGGGAGGCCAAGGTGGGCAGATCACTTGAGGTCAGAAGTTTGAGACCAGCCTGGCCAACGTGGTAAAAGCCCATCTCTACTAAAAATACAAAAGTTACCCAGGCATGGTGATGAGTGCCTGTAATTCCAGCTACTTGGGAGGCTGAGACACGAGAATCGCTTGAACCCGGGAGGCAGAGGTTGCAGTGAGCTGAGATGGCACCACTGAACTCCAGCCTGGGCAACAAAGCAAGACTCTGTCTCAAAAAAAAAAAGTCTGGTTTTGGCCGCCCACAGACCAAAGGGAACTGGGTTCTTATGTCAAGATGTTCTGGGTAAACTGCCTACCATGAAATTTCCAAGAAGGAAGGTCTCGTAAACCCCACAGCACCTTCCGTGAAGTTAGCGAGAGTCTTTTCTAAGAACTTTATTTTCCACTTACACAGACCAACAAAGCAAATGTCTTTACGAAGAGAAGCAGTGAGTGTGCTTTCGAACCAGCCAACACTGTGAGTGGAAAAAAAAAGCAAAAAGCCTGTAAATAAATCAGGAGTTTGTGAAGGGGAAAGCTATTTCCTTCTTTTCCTTATTTGAAGTTTCAGTTCAGCTTGTTCTCTATACCTTCTGAGACACTGCAAAGATAACATCTGAAGCCACAATGAGCAGATCCCCAACAGATGGCAGGTGGGCTGCCTGGCCATCCTGGGAAATGCCCTAAAGGAGGCGTCTTGGCTGGGCGTGCTGGCTCACGCCTGTAATCCCAGCACTTTGGGAGGTGGGCAGATCGCCTAAGGTCAGGAGTTCGAGACCAGCCTGGGCAACATGGTGGAACCCTCTCTCTACTAAAAATACAAAAATTAGCCAGGCATGATGGCAGGTGCCTGTAATCCCAGCTACTCGGGAGGCTGAGGCAGGAGAATCACTTGAACCCGGGAGGCGGAGGTTGCAGTGAGCGGAGATCACGCTACTGTACTCAAGCCTGGCCAACAGAGTGAGACTCTGTCTAAAAAAAAAAGAAGGGCACTTGTCCTGTTGTAAGGGTGTGAGGGTAACTGAGGAAGCATGCAGGGGCTAGGGGCTTACCTGAGTAGGTCCAGTCAGACCCATGCTGGGCCTGGCCACCCAGCAGGAACAGGGACAACAGAGGCACCAGGGCCCTCATGGTGCTGCACATCTGGAATGAAGACTGATTCCCGCGAAGCTCTTCTTTTAAAGGATCAGAAACTGTAAATAACAATTTACAAGTGATCCGCCCAACTGGCTAAGCCACTCGTTGCTGCACCCACTAAAACAATAACACCCTCCCCACAACAGCCCTTCTGGCTCTGTGCATTGGGCCAGGCAGCCCCAGCACCTGCCTGATCTCCTCCCACGTCAGTTTCATATCCGGTCAGTCCATGGGTCTGGTTATTCAGTGTCAGGAGCACCTGCAGGGCCGCACAGTGCAGCCATTGTGGACAGGTGACCGCGACAATGGGAAAAGGCCCAAGGCAGGGAGAAGCAGGATGAAGGACTTTCCTGGACAGTGGGACTTCCTATGCCCTTTCGCCTGACGTTAGAGATCTGGGGACTGCTGATGGATTACCGCTGCCTGCAAACTCTGCCTGTCTCAGTCGTGGACACATGCCACCGCTGCAGACACGTGGCTGCCCTCAGCCAGGCACCCGGGGAGACAGCCTGGAATCCACGTTCGGGCATTTCACGGTCCTCTCCTTAAACCAGCGGTTGATCCCGGGTCCCAGCTCATGAGCCACGTTCCAATGCGTGCCTTTAGGCCATCCGAGCTGGTGTGGGCGTCCGCGTTTCTGCATAGATTTGTTCTGACACCTACAGGCACTTGGGCACACCTAAGTCAATCAGCCAACTGCCCTCACAGGATCCATGGATTACCTCATCCTGTGTATCTACTTGGCTAGACCGTCCCTGAAACTAGCTGCAGGAGAAACTTTTGAGTTTATGCCTGCTGACAGGCCAGCGTTTCCCATGCCCTTCCACAAGGTCAAACACAAAGGGCAGCTGGAGCTCCTGCACGGGGACTACCATGCTGCCGCACACAAAGGGCTGCCCCTGCCTTGTTGTGGGGAGCTGAACCCCCTCCCAGCCTAGCTTAACTCATTATCCACTTGGTCCTGGAATGGCAAACGGCAGCAGGCCTTCACAACAAGGATGTTAGCAGTGAACCCAGGCTCTCTTGAATATTTCAAAGACTCCCCGCTGTCATTTAATAGAGAACATCAGCTGTTGCAAAGAACTTGCTGGAAACTTCAATTTCTAAAGCTCAAGAGCTGAAAGAATCTCAGAGAGAGAGCAAAGCATGGTCAAGGGCAAGAATTCTGAAACTAGACCGGATCTCTGCCACCTGCTAATTGTGTGACCTTGGGCAAGTTACTCAGTGCTCTGTGCCTCAGCTTTCCTTTCTTTTCTTTTCTTTTTTTTTCTCTTTCTTTCTTCCTTTATCTCTTTCTTTTCTTTCTCTCTTTCTTTCTTTTTTGAGACAGGGTCTCTGTCTGTCACCCAGGCTGGAGTGCAGTGATACGATTTCAGCTCACTTCTCCTGGACTCAAGCAATCCTCCTGCCTCAGCTTCCCAAGTAGCTGGGACCAGAGTCGCATGCCACTACGCCCTGCTAATTTTTGTATTTTTTGTAGATACAGGTTTTCACCATGTTGCTCAGGCTGGCCTCAAACTCCTGGACTCCAGCGATTCTCCCGCCTGGTGCTCCCAAAGTGCTGGGATTACAGGCGTGAGCCACCGCACCTGGCCGCCTCCTTTCTTTAAAAGGAGTTAGTGATAGCACCTCCTTTGTGGAAATTCATCAATAAATGTGCCTGCAGTAGTTGGAGCAGTGCCTGGTGTGTAGCAAATGGCATTAGCATCTATTCAGACCCCTCATTTTACAGGAAAAGGAAGTGACTTACCATTGCCACCCAGCTGGTTAGTGAGGGAACAGGAGGAAAAATGCTGCAATCTCCAGCTTATGGGCCATTGCTTTGCAAAAATGAGAAACCCACTCACCTGTCCTTGCTAAATCAGTGACGCACACCTGCTGACTCCCAGCCCTGGGGAAAGGGCTACCTTGTAAATCACGAGACCCCACCTCTGCTGAGGAGAGCAAGACCCTTTACAAGCCCGGGCGGGACCCTTGACGTCGAACTGGCAGGAAAACACGAACTCGGTCATCTGAATTTTTTCTTGGGAATCTGAATTGGGAGACCCAGAAAGAATCAGGGAGCAGCAGACGGGCAGAGACTGAAATGTCAGGCTGTCATGGAAGCCTGGGAGGACTGGATGAGCCCAGGCGAGGGGGACTGGAGCGGGAAGGAGCTCAGAGAAAGCCTGGGCCACGGGGGAGGGGAAGACTGCCCAGAGAGGGAGGGAGGAAGGAAAGGGCCCTGGAGAGTCACAGAGAGGAGTGCTCCGGGAAGAGCACAGTGAAATGGAGAGGGCCCACCACTCCTGGCAGCTCCCAGCCCCATGGGTCTCACTGCCCTGCCGCAGGCATTTGGGGCTGGCTTCCCAGGAGGGCCCTGGGACTTTCCTTGCCTCACACAGCTCCTTAAAACACAGTGCACATACTGCATCTGTGTGGCTGTGATGACAGCAGCCCTGCCGCAGAACTGCTGTGCAGCGAATCCACCCATCACATCTGACGCTTTGCCCTGGTTTTGCCTGTCTTTCGCTCAGGCAAGAGCCTGGGCTGGCCGGCAACCTGTTGACCTGGCTGGTGTTGAGAATTGGTGTGAAAGTGAGTGATTAAGGCAATAAGGGGGTCAGATCAGATGATGGACTCTTGGAGTAGCAAGGCCATCTGCCAGCGAGGGCACATTTCTAGAGAGAGGGTCGCTCACGTCCCTTCACCGTGCAGCACCCTGCCAAGGACACGCTGGACCCAGAATCGGGTATGGTAAGTAGGGTTGCCTATTTTCTGACTCCTTGTCTACTTCAACCCTGAAATTTTCCATCACCTTTGAATGTGAGTCTTCTTCTTGGATTTGGGAGACACGTTGTTTGTTTGGGTTTGCGTTTGTTGGTGGTGGTAGTGGTGGGTTTTTGTTTTTGTTTTTTGGGTTTTGGTTTCTTTGTTGAGACACAGTCTCACTCCGTTGCCCAGGCTGGAGTGCAGTGGTGCAATCATGGCTCACTGCAGCCTCCCAGGGCTCAGGTGATCCTCCTGCCTCAGCAACCTCCCCCCACTTTGACCTCTCCAAGTAGCTGGGACAACAGGTGCATGCCCTATGTCCGCTCTGTTTTTGTTGCTTTTATTTTTAGTGAGTCTCTCTATGCTATGAGCTTCCTTCTGCCTTCATCCAACCACATCCTTGGCTGATCAAGGTTGTTTTTTTAATTCTAAACTCCTATTTTTCTAGGGCCTATGGTTGGATTGGCTGTCCGAGATGAGTTGACAAGTGTATCATTCTTACAACATAAGGTCAAAGGGAGAAAGGAGCCTTTGTTCTTCCTTGGTTCTACCACCGCCCCTTGATAAGGCCCACTGAGGCAAGGAAAAAGAAGGCGGCAGGGCAGCATGGCCAGTCCAGGTGGGCAAGAAGGCATCATCAGCCCAGGTGAGCAGGGAAGCACTGTCAGCCCAGGTGAGCAAGGACAGATGATGAACCAATGACTAGGGAGGCACCATTAGCCCAGGCTGCATAGGACCAGCATAAAAGAATGAGTCTGGTGGGCCAGGCGCGGTGGCTCACACCTGTAATCCCAGCACTTTGGGAGGCTGAGGTGGGTGAATCACCTGACGTCAGGAGTTCAAGACCAGCCTGGGCAACATGGTGAAACCCCGTCTCTACTAAAAATACAAAAATTAGCCGGGCATGATGGTGTGTGCCTGTAATTCCAGCTACTTAGGAGGCCTAGTCACAAGAATCACTTGAACCCGGGAGGCAGAGGTTGCAGTGAACTGAGATCGTGCCATTGCACTCCAGCTTGGGCAACACAGCGAGACTCTGTCTCAAAAACAACAATAAAAACAAAGAAACAAACAAACAAAAAAGAATGAGTCTGGCTACACAAGAATATGCATATTTTGGCTGTAAGTAACACACAAAGGCTATTCTTCTGTTTCATGCAGGAGTGTGAGCTCATCCTGAAGAATGAGTCACTCTGAACAAGTGAGTTCTGATGGTTACAGGCTCAATCCTTTGTAAGCACCAAAATGATTAAAACCTCTAAAATGCATGGTACATTTTTAAATAGATAAAACTGAATGTTATTAAACTTTTCTTAATGACTGAGTTCCACTAATATGAACATCAGTTATTCTCCTGCATTGTAATATATTGATGTCCGCTGGGCCTATAACATATATATATATATAATTCTCCGGGCAAGAAACAACCCCGGTCAGGCACAGTGGCTCACACCTGTAATCCCAGCACTTTGAGAGGCCAAGGGGCGGGGGGCATATCACCTGGGGTCAGGAGTTCGAGACCAGCCTGGCCAACATGGTGAAACCCCGCCTCTACTAAAAATACAAAAATTAGCCAGGCATGGTGGCACGTGCCTGTGATTCCAGGTACTCGGGAGGCTCAGGAAGGAGACTCTGTCATCTCAAAAAGAAAGAAAGAAAGAGAGAGAGAGAGAGAGAGAGAGAGAAAGAAAGAAAGAAAGAAAGAAAGAAAGAAAGAAAGAAAGAAAGAAAGAAAGAAAGAAAGAAAGAAAGAAAGAGAGAGAGAGAGAGAGAAAGAAAGAAAGAAAGAAAGAAAGAAAGAAAGAAAGAAAGAAAGAAAGAAAGAAAGAAAGAAAGAAAGAGAGAGAGAAAGAGAGAAAAGACCCCTAACTGTGATGTTTTTGGATTTCTTTTACCAGGTATTGAGAGGGGAAAGTTAGCTAACCTAATTGATTACTAAAGTAATGCACATCTACGCTCACGGGTATCCATAGGACCGGGGCATAACCAATCACAACAGAAGCCAGACTTGGTGTGGAAGAGAGTCTGGAAGCTCCCTGCTCTGCCAGGAGTTAACCCTGGATTGGTGGATTGTAGGGAGATTGGGAAGTTCTTGGAAAGGGCTGAGTGGCAGGAGCAGCTGGAGGTACTATTGTGTGTGTATTGATTTGTTTTTTCATTGTTAGCATTTCCCTCTCTTTCTTTCTTTCTTTCTTTCTTTCTTTCTTTCTTTCTTTCTTTCTTTCTTTCTTTCTTTCTTTCTTTC